GATAATAAAAAATAGGAAAACCTTCCTTCCTTTGAAGAATAGAAATCAGGTGTTTAGGCACACGCATGCTTTGTGCCTGACACACTTATTCTCATGTCATTGTGTATCATGATTCGGAGAAGGAGATACTTCAGGTTTATAGATTTTTGTTTTAACATTTGTGTTGAATTCTTTCTTCAGGCTGATGTTTCCTGTTGGGTTTGAGGAAAGTGTAGAAGTAGGGAAACAAATGCTTTGTTTTGTTTTCAGTAGGCCTGAGTTGCTGATGAGAAAAGAGTTGAGGGTGGGCTGAGGAACAGAGTGACACTCCCTCTCCTCCCTGCTGAAGTTGATGAACAATGAAATCAATTAAGTGTATTGGTATTTGACCAATAGAATTTAGCGAGCCCAAACTGGCTAGTTATGCCCAATGGAAAGTACTGAATTCACCTGCAGAGTCAGGTGCTTTACCAAGTAGAAGCAGCTTTGAGCAATCAGAAAAATCAGTCCTACGATGAGCTAAAAATGTATATAATATCTTTTATTTCTGAAACTTTTCTACGTTAAGTTGTGTAGAGGTAAAATTAATTTTCAAGCACCAGGAGTTAAGAGTGTGGGTGGTTCTGTGGGATCGTTATTCAGGGATGTGCCTAGACCCTTCTAGAGTGGCTGAAGCTGGCATGAAAAGGCCCAAAACCAGGATTTGTCATCGCAGGGTATTCTTCATATTGGTTCCATGTAGGAGCCCTTGATTGGGTTAACAAATTGTAACAGTCCCAGGCCGTCTGTCAACTATACGAAGAAAAAATATGCTTAGTAACTGCTTTGCAAGCAAGGGCCTGTGCATCCTCACTCCTGTCTCCTTGCCTTAAAAAGCAGAGACAATGCTTTGCTTGCGTAGTTGAGGTTTTAGATAGCACTCTGGTCATTGCAAAGCAAGGACCCAGGACCTCAGCTATAAAAGCTGGGCTTGTGTACTGTTAGATAGTCTGTTATCCCCAAAACAAGGAACTGGCTGGTCTGGTGGTCTGCTTTGTAATTCACAAATCAAAAGAAATTATTTTGTTCCCCTCACCACATGGCTTCCCTAAAGATAAACTAAGACTTTGTACTCATGGTGGATTCTACAATTTCTGTCTCATCCAGGCTTTCCCCAAATTCCTGCTTATTATCACACAGCTCTTAATGACTATTTCCTTTGATTATACACAATAAATATGGGAGAATTTGAGAGGCTGTTGGAGTTGGCTCCCTACTCCCTATCGATTTCTGGACTTTTTCTACAATCTTAAATAATCATTCCCTGTAGGTAAAACTTCTGCCAGCCAGAACCCACAGTTCCAGCTGAGAAGGATGCAGGTTTATCTCTCTTACCCGAGGGAGAGAGAGAGAGAAGATAATTGAAATTTGCTGCCTTGTGGTCCCTTCCTGCCCCAGGGCCACTCCAGTTCACCTGCAGCCTTCTGGCCTCTGCTCACAGGGCCTCTGTCCCAGGACTGACCACAGCATTTTCTTCCCTGGTCAATGTTTCCTGTGCCTTTCAGAGGTTGGTCTCTTCTCTGCAATTCAACCCTGGCAGATGTGATGGTGGTCGGCGTGCTGGTGGGCAGTCACTTGGGGACTGCTAGGAACCATGCTGATTCTCCTGAGTGTCTCATTCGGGGTTACAGAACTGTCGAGCACTGGAGGAAGCCCATTCACGTGAGGCCAGCACAGCATTGCATCAGTTTCATTTTTATTTTT